TAAATTATCTATAAATTGTTCTATAATTGCTATGGAATTCCAATGAAAATCCCAGAAGGATTTTTCATGAAACTTGAAACATTAAATCTAAAATTTCTATGAAAAATTAGAAGAGAAATATAGCCAAAACACTCTTGAAGAAGATGAAATAGGTTGGGAGACTTGGCCTGCAAGATATCAAGTGTTATTGCAGAGCTATTGACATTAATAGTGTGGCACTGGTACAAAAACAGACAAATTGGCAGAACAGAGAGCCCAGAAACAGACCTATATATTTATGAAATTTTGATATAAGAGATTTCGCATGGCACATCACTGAAGAAATTAGCGTGAAACAACTGTTTAGCAAATACAAGTCAATATCAATATATTAAAATTTAAAGTGAAAGAAGAAACTTTTCAATCTTTAAAAGAATGTATTGGATAGGCCAGGTGTAGTGGCTCATGCCTGTAATCCCTGCACTTTGGGAGGCTAAGGTGGGAGGATCACTTGAGGTCAGCAGTTCGAGACCAGCCTGGCCAACATGGTGAAACCCCGTCTCCATTAAAATTACAAAAAAATTAGCCAGGCATGGTGGAGCATGCCTGTAATCCTAGCTACTCAGGAGGCTGAGGTGGGGGATTGCATGAACCTGGGAGATGGAGGTTGCTCAGTGAGACGAGATCGTGTCACTGCACTCCAGCCTGGGCGACAGAGCGAGACTTCTTCTCAAAAAAAAAGAGAGAGAATGTATTGGACAAAATCATTCTAACCTCAGAGAGGGAAGAAATTTTTAAACAGGAAACAAAAAGAAGAAACCGTAAAAGAAAAGATTGATAAGGTCAGTAATATTATCATAAGGAACTTTGTTCAAAAAGACAACATAGGCCAGGCACGGTGGTTCACACCTACAATCCCAAACTACGAGAGGTCGAGGAAGGCAGATCATCTGAGGTCAGGAGTTTATGACCAATCTGGCCAACATGGTGAAACCCCATCTCTACTAAAAATACAAAAATTAGCCGGGTATAGTGGGGCACGCCTATAATCCCAGCTACTCTTGAGGCTGAGGCAGGAGAATCACTTGAACCCAGGAGGCGGAGGTTGTAATGATCTGAGATCAAGCCAGTGAACTCCAGCCTGGGCAACAGAGCAAGACTCCATCTCAAAAAAAAAAAAGACAACATAAAGATATGAATACATAAACCCTGAACTGCCAGAGGCTACTTGCAACATACATAACTGCTAAAAGATTAATGTCTAGATTATATGAAGAACTCTACAAATCCCAAGAAGGAAAGGGAGGGAGAGAGACAGACAGAGCAACCAAAAATAAATAAGACACAAATGATTATGTCATAGAAAACATAAATGGCAAATAATGCATGAAATAATGTCCAACCTTATTAGTAATTAGGAAAATGCAAATTTAGACCACAACATGATATCAATCTACCCTTGATTAGCAAAAATTAAGAAATCTGGTATTACAAAATTGGTGCAGATATAGACAAAAGACTATGACATCCTACCGGTGTATCAACTATTACAACCACTTTGGAAAACAAGTTGGTGCTTTTTTATGAAGTTGGACGTTCACATACCCTGTGACATGGCAAATCCATCCCTAGGTAAGTACCCTAGAGAAATCCTTAAATATAAATACCAAGTTTATTCAAAGTCACAGAAACAAACAAAACAAAAAGAAAACAAAATAACTGAAATAGTCACTAACAGGCTGGGTACAGTGGCTCATGCCTGTAATACCAGCACTTTGGGAGGCTGAGGTGGGAGTCACTTGAGGTCAGGAGTCCCAGATCAGCCTGGCCAATATGGTGAAACCCTGTCTCTATTAAAAATACAAAGATTAGCCAGAAGTTGTGGCGCATGCCTGTAATCCCAGCTACTTGGGAGGCTGAGGCAGGAGAGTCGCTTGAACCAGGAGGCAGAGGTTGCAGTAAGTCAAGATCATGCCACTGCAGCAGAGCAAGGCTCCATCTAAAAAAAAAAATCTGAAATATTCACTAACAGAAAATAAAGTGTAGCTAAACAGATCAACATGAGTGAATCTTAGACACATACTGAATGAAACAAAACCAAGTCACAGAAGACTAAAAGCAATATAACATCATTTTTGTAAAACTTCAAAATCAAGTAAAACAAAATATTTTTTAGAATACCTCTAAAATGTAAAAGGATTATTTTTAAAAGATGTAAGAGAATGCTGACCGAAAGAAAAGAAAAAAGAAATCAGGTGGAAGCCCTTCTAGTGGAGGGGCGGGTTGACGGGAAGGGGACACAGTTGCTAGGACAATACAGATTATGTTCTAGTGTTACACTGGGTAGCAGGTTCGTGGAGTTCACATCATTAAGCTTCTTAATTGGTCGGGCATGGTGGCTCATACTTGCAATCCCAGCACTTTGGGAGGCCAAGGCAGGAGGATCCCTTAAAGCCAGGAGTTTGAGATCAGCCTGGGCAACAAAGTCAGACTCTGTCTCTGTGATTTTTTTTTTTTTTTTAGTTAGCCAGGTGTGGTGGCACACACCTGTAGTCCCAGCTACTCAGGAGGCTGTGGCAGGAGGAGCACTTGACCCCAGGAGTTGGAGGCTGCAGTGAGACAATCTCATTTCTGTAGCCAGCCCGGGCAACCAAGGGAGACTCTGTCTCTAAAAGTAAATAAATGAATAAAATTAAGCTTCTTAATCTACATCAGTTTTCTTAACCTTGCCACTACAGATGTTTTGGGTTGGATAAATCTTTGTTGCAGGTGGCTGTCCTCTGCACTGTAGGATGTTTAGCAGCATCCCTGGTCTCTACCCACTAGATGCCAGTGTTATCCTCTGCCCCCCACCCCCAGATGTGAAAACAAAAAATGTTTCCAGACATTGCCAATGTCCCCTGCGGAGCAAAATTGCTCCCTGGTTGAGAATCACTGATCTACATATATGTTATATATACTTTTGAATGTTTTAAATATTCCATAATAAAATATAGTTAAAATTGATGGGTAGAAGTTTCACTCTGTGAAACAGAACCAGGAAGCAATCATTAAGAGCTGAGGAAGCCAGAGCCTTCCAGAGTCCTTTGAAGTGACAGTGCTCAGCCATGTAAGCTGACAGTTTCAGGAAGGTTTTGACTAGCAGATGATATTTCTAGAAATTGTACCAGGTATCAGAAATCAATGACTCTACACTGGAGAAAAATGTCTGCAACCCTTCTTAATACTTTGGGAGATCTAAAAGCTTAGTTTAGCCTTTGGGACCACCATTTAATTTTTTAAAAAATCAATTATTGATTTTTGAAAACAGGGCTTTGCGTTTTTATACAAACTCTTTCTTCCAAGGTATTGAAAGAGATTCATATATTTTATTACCTTTGGGGGGTTGGCTATTTCTGTAAAGTCATCACATATCTAACAGTGGCCCCCAAATGACTGGGAGATCTCCAGGAATATGATTCAGAGAAAATAACACTGCTGTTCTAGGATGATGAGTGTCTGAGAGCCCATGCTGACTACTGTACCCCATTAACCTTAGAGCCTCCCCAACTCTGTGGCTCTACTTGATAGCACCTACCTGGATTCCTTCCTTCCTTCCTTCCTTCCTTCCTTCCTTCCTTCCTTCCTTCCTTCCTTCCTTCCTCCCTCCCTCCCTCCCTCCCGCCCTCCCTCCTTCCCTCTCACTCTCTCTCCTTCTCCCCCTCCCCCCTCCTTCTCTCCTTCTCTCTCTCTCTCTCTCTCTCTCTCTCTCTCTCTCTCTGACAATGTCTTGCTCTGTAACCCAGGCTGGATTGCAGAGGTGCAGCGGTACCATCAAGACTCACTGCTGCAGCCTCAATTTCTCAGGCTCAGGCAATCCTCCTACTTCAGCCTCCTGAAGTGTTTACTTAGCCATCACACCTGGCTAATTAAAAAAAAAAAATTGTAGAGACAGAATCTCACTGTGCCACCCAGGCTGGTCTTAAAAAACTGGGTTCAAGCGATTGACCCTCCAGCCTTGGTCTCCCAAAGTGCTAGGATTACAGGCATGAGCTGGCATGCCCAGCCACCTATTTTGTTCTCATACTTGTACTACAGTTCCATTTAACTCAGATGGGGAGAGTTTATTACCTTCATTTTTTTAAATGGAGAAACATAGACACAGAGAGTATACATGACTTTTTCAAGATAAAAGAATCCAGAGTTTATTAGAAATCCTAATTTGGCATGAAAATCAGGTCTCTTGAAGCTTGGTCTTTATGCTTTTTTTTTTTTTTTTTTTTTTTTTTTTAACCAGGCTCTGAACTGTGTTTGGACACATATGAATATGCTCATGCAGATGTGCATGTGTACGTGTGTGCATCTGTGTGTCTGTGGTTTGGGGATGTATGTCTGTTTCTCTGAGGATAAGGTGTCAAGGCAGAGATAAGGCAAGGGATTAAAGAGAGGAGCTAGGAGGAAAGGCATGAAAGAAAGACTATGAGATTACCAGTGTGCAGTGGTGCAAGCCTACAGTCCCAGCTACTCAAGAGGCTGAAGTGGGAGGATTGTTTCAGCCCAGGAATTCGAGACCAGCCTGGACAATATAGTGAGACTCCAATCTCAAAAAATAAAATAAAATAAAATGAAAAAAAGAATGTCAGATTCAGAAGATGCTTTGGGCAAGACCTCTGGAGGTCTCAGTTCAACTGTAAAAGCTTACAATGATTGCAAGAATCAAATGAGATGTGTCTTTGAAAGTATTTTATGTGTCTGTATATAAATGTGTGTGTGTGTGTATGTGTGTGTGTGTGTGTGTGTGTTAGGAAAGCTACTCAGGAGGCTGAGGCAGGAGATTTGTTTGAATCCAGGAGGTGGAGATTGCAATGAGCTGAGATTGTGCCACTGCACTCCAGCCTGGGCAACAGAGTGAGACTCTGTCTCAAAAAAAAAATAGTGATTGCCATTATTATAATTATTATTAAAATATAATTAGATGCAAAAGCAACCCTCATGAGTAGGATGACTCATATTTTCTTCATTTTCTTGGCACTCACTCTTACCATATGTCCAACTCAGAGGAATATTCAGTGGCTCCCAGCAAAGCATCGGGAGGCCGGTACCAGAGAGTAACGACTTCTGAAGAATATGTCTGGCTGGGAACAGACTTGGCCCGAGCAAGACCTGTTCAAAGAGAAAAAGAATAAAACCCATTGTTCTAGACCCTGGCTTTCACCATGATGCACTGGACCAGGGAGAGTGTAACTGACAGGGAAAACATCATTAAAAAAAAAATACATGAACTTTAGGTGCTTCTAATAGAACTAATCACTATCTTGACTCTTATCTATCACTTCATCAAGTAAATTTCTCAAATTTTGGCCTGCTTTGCAGCTAGATGTGACCTGCTTGGCAGCTGAGTGTGGTCAGGTGACTAAGTTCTTGCCTATATGATAAGAACAGAGGTGATGTGTGAACTTCCAGATCATGCCTTAGTGGAGGGGTTAAGTGTTCTGCTTCCCTTTTCTCCTTCCTCTGGGCTGTGATGAGCAGGAGGTGGCAGCCATCTTGAAAGAAGCCATTGGGAGAAAATCCTAGGGATGGTGGAGTCACATGACAGAAGCAGTCTGGGCCAAGATACCACTGGGTCACCATACATACTCTGCCTGCTTAGGTCAGGACTGTGATGTGAGAAAAAAGTTAAGTTTCTTGCATGTTATACCTCTGTAATTTTGGGTCTCTGTAACAGCAACTGAACTCAGTTCATGACTGATGTTGCCACCTTCCATTTTGGCACTCCAGGAAAGCCCAGTTTAATAGATAAAGAGTAGGGACTGCTCATTCAAATTAATTAGTTTGGTAGGACCCGAATTACTAAGTGCTGTTCTGCAAAATGAGAGTCTGTCAGTCAGCTGTTTATCTCACAGAATTGCATGATCTATTGTTGGGAAAAACTTCCATAGATAAGTTTGCTGTTGTGAAGAATTGATAAATAAACATCTGTTAAATGCTTACATGTCAGGACAGAAGCTGCCATCTCAGAATAAATAATGCAGCTATACTATCACCATTTGAATCTGCCAGAGAAGAGGGGTTCTTTAGCTCATATAGAGCCAGTTTTTCAACATGTATTTATTAAGCACCTACTATGGTACCAGGCACTAGGGATACAATACTAAGCAAAAACAGACCCAGGCTGCCCTCATGATGCTTATAGTCCAATTGTGACAAAATCATCATGCTAATACATGTGTGCTCACACATGTGTATATATTTGTGTGTATGCATGTATGTATCTATATATGTGTGTGTGAATATAATTATAAACTGTGATAAGTGCTAAAATGGAAAGATGCTGTGATACTTAGAGGAAATCTGCTTTACTTTAGTGGGAATAAAACTTCGCATACCATACACTCACACCTATATAAATACGTAGGAGAGCTGGAACAAGTGTCCTGGAGTCTCCCTCCTGACAGGAGTCCATGCCAGTCTGTGGTTAACCTCTTTATCACCTGGGATAATCTCGATCTATTCCAACATGATTTGTATATCCACTTAGATTTAGAAAAACGTACTAAGTACAGTTTACTCTACGAATGTCTCTCTATCAAAAATGGCAGTGGGCCAATAGGGGTGCGCAGCTTTTGGCCATTTGACTAAACTGAGACTTGGTGGAATCCTAGGAAGCTACCAATCCCTCCCTGTTTCATGCCTCACACTTCCTTTATGGTAGTTTGATATCCTCACAAAGCATCATGTTCTCAGGCCTCCAGTTTTCAAAGGCTAGGCCCGGTCAACGCTTAAACAAGTGCACACAAAAGCATAATTGTTCACAGCCCAGAAGGAGACCCGAGGGGCGACTCACCAAAATCAGCCAGTTTGAGCTCTCCCAGGTGACTGATGAGTAAGTTCTGAGGTTTCAGGTCTCTGTGAAGAACATGGTGGTGGTGGATGTATGCCAGGCCCCGCAAAAGTTGAAACATGAAAAGCTGGAAGGAAGAAACACTATCCATAAGGAGATTTGAGCCACCATGTGCTGATTTCTCCTCTAAATCAAAAACAGTCATCTGAAAGGATATAGTAAAAGGGTCTCTTGAGAGACAAAAAAAAAAAAAAAAAAAAAAGACGAATTTTACATTCAGAGGGGGAAGAAAGAGGACAAGGAAAGTCAAGTAACTAGACCATGTCCTAAACAGAGGGATTCTGGCTTTTCCTGACATCTCATTTCTTTGATACTGAAGGAATTACCCTTCCTTAAAAATCTAAAGTGAAACTTTGAAGTTTCCTTTGGAACACTAGTTATTGATTTAGATGTGAAAGATTTAATTTTTTTCCCCACCAATGAACTTGGCATATAAGATCAAAGTTGACCTGGAAATGATATTCTAAAGTTTACAACTGCTTAAGTTGTCTAGACACTCTGATATGAAACCCTTTTAAAAACACAACACAAGGAGACCAGGCTAAAAAATATATCTTTAGATGGTATTAGAAAATAAAGAAATCCTTATCATTTTAACCCTATTTTTAAAGTTTTAAATTCAAAGTTGAAAACAAGGGAAATACCAGCACAGATTAAAAGGGATGAGAGACCAAAAGAAGTTAGACCTCCCTCAAAAAGAAAAAAATCAAAAAAGAATAAGGGATAAATCATAGGGGGAAGAAGGGAGAAAGGGCAAATGGTAGTGGTGGAGAAATAAAAGGAAAAAACACATTCTGAGCCCCAATTTAAAAATGTTTCATGTGGTTATGGGGCACAGAAACCAAAGCCATTACTAGGTTCCCATCATTACAGAAACCTTTGGGAGAAAAAGAATGCTTAGTATTCCAAGTGTCTTTTGCTATTTTCCAGTGCCACTGGCAATTGAGAATTCAAACACCGACTTCAGTGTTTACAAAGACCTACGTCAACTGAGAACATGTTCTAGCAGTTCAGAAAGGAAAGGGCCAGGCACAGCATTCCTGGGACACGGGCAAAATGGGAGACACACAGTTACGTGGATTAATCTACTTTTCCAGCAGCATCCTAGAAAACTAGGACCTTCAGAGACGCTAGGACCAGCACTGACCTAACAATGACCTGGAGACATTGTAGCCAAATGAATGGGCAACATAGTCCAGTGGAAGCAGGAGCATGGGGAGTTTACCTGCTGCTGCAGCACACCTGATGTAGCTACCACATCAGGTTCATCAACCATTTATGAATTTTAAATGTTTCTTGTGACTCCTAGATCAAATGTTAACTGGTTCTGTGACTCTTCCCAGCGTTATCTCTTCCTGGTGCTTCAAATACACATACTATTCATCTTACCTTCACCAAGCCACAAAGCTTCCACAGCACAAACTTCCTATACTGACATTTAAACCCTCTGATTGGTTATAAACATAAATGTTCATGGAAAAAACAATATAAAGAGCCAGCTTAAATTCCAGGTAAAAGACAAGAAAATACCATAGTATATCCTTAAAAATATGTTTTTCAGCCACACGCAGTGGCTCATGCCTGTAATCCCAGCACTTTGGGAGGCCGAGGTGAAAGGATCACCTGAGGTCAGGAGTTTGAGACAAGCCTGGCCAACATGCTGAAACCCCGTCTCTACTAAAAATACAAAAGATTAGCTGGGTGTGGTGGCACATGTGTTTGGGAGGCTGAGGCAGGAGAATCGCTTGAACTTGGGAGGTGGAGGTTGCAATGAAATGGGATTGCACCACTGCACTCCAGCCTGGATGACAGAATAAGACTCCATCTTGAAAAAAAAAAAGTTCTTCAATATGCAGGACTAGGGAAAGAGGAAGCTGAAGACAGGTAGCTGAAGACAGGTAGCTAAAGACAGGTAGGTAGAAGACAGGAAGTTGGTGACCAGTGAGGGATACAGCCTTTGGGTAGGCATGCTTGTCCTCAGTTTACAGAGAAGAAAACCAGGGCTTGATGTAACTTTAAACACATGTCTAGGAAGAGTCAGAGCCAAGACTCAAATTCAGACTTGTCTGACTCCACTATACCATCTTGAGAAACTAGAGAAAAGACAGAAAATGAAAACATGAGCGGGAAGGAGAGAGCCAGCTGGCTGAATCAGAGACAGAGCTTCTTAGTAGGTCAGCTTGAAACGCCTTTTATGTCTCAAGTGTAGACTGTTCTCTCTAATTAGCCACAGTCACTTCCCACCTTCTTGCCATTCAACCTCTTTCCTCTCTGCCAGATATGTCTACAGGCATCTGTACATGGTAAAGCACTGCGGCATTAAGGTATGATATTTTATAACCACATTTCTCAAAACTGCAGTCTGTGCTGACAGACCTCACCACCCACTCACCCTTTCATCCCTCCCAACCTGGATTCTTCCTTCAACACTGCAGAAGCTTCACCAATTACTGCATCCTAACATAACCAGATATGATGGTGTCTGCATAGTTCAACATCAGCCAGACTGTGGGTGACTCTTTCCAGAAAGGCTTCCCAGATCCCAGGGGTTAGACCTGTTTCCAACTCAATAAGGCTTGGGGGAACAAAATAATTCCCCTGAACTAGTGCCATCTGGGCTAGGAGTTACTAAAAAACCAATAGCATCTATTAGCCAACTCCTTACAGGGAAGCCTGAGTCTTTCCATCCACCTGGAATCCCTGGGACTCATTCTACTAGAAATCTGAAAAAAGATAACCTCACTAGGATTCCCACCTTGCCTTCCTTGGTCATGACTCAGAACATAAGCCTCTGACTATCCCTTTTCCCCTCAACATGCTCATCTCCATTCTGCTCTGTGCTTCCTCTGTTCAGCCTTGTATCTATTGCTCCTCTCTCTCCAAAACCTTTTCACTGTTTACTCTCCACTCCTCGATCCTGCTTTAAAAACTACCTAAAAGCTAACCTCTGGTGAATTTCCTTCTGGCTCCTTTCCTTAAACAAGACCATGAGCTCACTGCTTCCCTATAGTATTCTCAAGTGGGTGTTAGTTTTTCTATAACTTCCACATACCTTTGACCACTGACGAGTGTCATAAGCTGCCTCCCTTTTCCCCACTACCACTTCAAAACCATGACTTCTCTACTCTTAAGTAAAAACCCCTGACTCTTGGATTTTAAAGCCATCCAGCCACATCTTCCATTACCCTTCTTTTAGCTATCATCCAGTGAACTCCCAATCACTCTCTGTTATTCATGGAAGATGTGGGCACTTGGATCACAGCTGTTGCCTCCATGACATTAGTGCCCATGAGAACAGCTCTAGCCAACCTCAGCTGCAATGATCTGCTTCTCCAGTCCACTTCAGATACTAACTCCTGTGGTCACACAATAGATCTTGCCATTGTATGGAACTGTTTGTCCTCTGAAATACAAAATTCATCCCCCAATAAAAATGCTTTGCAGTGATTATGCCATTCACAATGTTTTTTTTTTTTTTTCCTATGGTTGCCCATGACTTTTGCAGTGAAACCCAATGGATACCTCTTATTCCTTATCTTTGCAGCATCTGGCATCATAGACCATGCCTTCCTTCCTGAGGCGCTCTCTTTCTTTGGTTCCACAATCTCCTAGTTTTTCTTCTGCATCTCTGGCTGTCCTTTCTATAGGTTCTACTTTTACTGATATCTAATATCTATGGATATTCCGGCCAGGTGCAGTGACTCACACGTGTAATCCCAGAACTTTGGGAGGCCAAGGCAGGAGGACTGCTTGAGTCCAGGAGTTCGGGACCAGCCTGGGCTAACTTGTAAGACCCCTTCTCTACAAAAAATAAAAATAGGCCAGGTACAGTGGCTCATGCCTGTAATCCTAGCACTTTGGAAGGCAAAGGCAGGTGGATCACTTCAGGTCAGAAATTCAAGAGCAGCCTGGCCAACATGGTGAAACCCCGTCTTTACTAAAAGTACAAAAATTAGCTGGGCAAGGTGGCGCGCACCTATAGTCCCAGCTACTCGAGAGGCTGAGGCAGGAGAATCTCTTGAACCCAGGAAGCAGAGGTTGCAGTGAGCTGCGATTGCACCACTGCACTCCAGCCTGGGCAACAGAGCAAGACTTCATCTAAAAAAATATATAAATAAAATTTAAAAAATAAAAATAATAACATATTGATATTCTTAGGGTTCCATCTCTGATCTTCTTCTGTTATCACTTTACACATGCTCCCTTAGCTATCGTACCCACTGACATGACTTTAATGAACAACTGTAGCCTGATGATTTCAAAATTTTTCTCTCCAATTCAGATTGCCTTTCTACTTTAGACCCACATAGTCTGGAGTTCACCTCTGCATCCCATAATCACCTCAAACTCAGTATGTCTAAAACGCAATTCACTGTATCTCTCCAAAATTAATTTTTCTTTCTGATTCTTTATCACAGTGAATGGCACCATCATCCATCTTAATACTCAAATCCAGAAAAAAAATATTGGGCCGGGCGCGGTGGCTCACTCCTGTAATCCCAGCACTTTGGGAGGCTGAGGTGGGTGGATCATGAGATCAAGAGATCGTGATCTCTTGACCATCCTGGTCAACAGGGTGAAACCCCGTCTCTACTAAAAATACAAAAAATTAGCTGGGCACAGTGGCGCATGCCTGTAATTCCAACTACTCAGGAGGCTGAGGCAGGAGAATTGCCTGAACCCAGGAGGCGGAGGTTGCGGTGAGCTGAGATCGCACCATTGCACTCCAGCCTGGGTAACAAGAGCGAAACTCCGCCTCAAAAAAAAAAATATATATATATATATATGTATGTTGCTGACTCTTGTTTTTCCCATCAGCTCCCACTAAGTAATTAGTCTCCTATCTGTCCATGTTCTCCAACCATCATCTCACATCTGTACCACTGTTGTTCTGATTAGCCTCACTGTCAAGGCTAGAACCCTAACAAATGTCAGCATTTAGGGAGTGAGTAGAGAGAGAGAAGCTTTCTATATGAGTAGGCGGAGAGAGGGAGAAGAAAAACAAGAGAAAAGTAGGGTCAGGGGAATATAACCTTTCAAAAAAAAAAAAAGCATTGCCCTTATTCC